CGAAAATATCGGATCGAGGTTATCCGCTCTTGTGTCGCAAGCGCACGTCCCGCACACGCTTGTCCTGCAACCCACTGTATGACATTAACTTTGTATCCATTTTCAACATCGTGCTTTTCGAAACCTACGGTAGCGCGTATGAATATTTGAAAACTGCGTGTGAAGTTTGGCGAGATGAAAAAACGCAGCGAATTTCGCTCGTCGCAATTCCATATTTCATATCGGGAATAAAATTGTTCGAATCATAATACAAAATTGATTACTCTAAAATTGGAGTAGGTTTTCAACTTTTCCTCTGGACGGCACTTACAATTACTATGCTTTCCTGAAAGTTGAGTAATACCCTTCAAGAATAGTCATTGTAAAGTGTTGATGTTACGACAATAATAATTCATACGACTACGTGTGAAAGCACGAGCGATTTTATTTGACAAATAAAAATGATTTAATAAGATATTCCACAACTTTTAACGATTAGTAAATCTTCAGGCTACGAACAATAAAAATAACAGATACAAATACGGCACAATTACGTTGTGCACCGTGCAGTTATTACAGCTATTTGATGATCGTATAAAAATTGTAATGTACCTAAAGAAATTTTAATTGCCGTATCCATCTCGAAAACATAAATATACAAGCTTATAAATTACTATGGGTATCAATAATAAGCAATCTCGATAATTCATCGTTCACACGTCGCGTAGAAAACGATCATCCACCAAAACGAATTTCACGTAAAAAAAAAACTACGATGCTATGTTTTCCTATTTTCTTGATTCACAAACACACTTAATATAGTGGTTTAACGAAAATTTCACCGATCATTTATCTCATCCTTGAAATAAGAGGCCCAATTTAAATCTGTCATAAGCTGTGAAAGCGGGCGAAAACAACGCCCGAGGATTTGTAAAACTAAAAAGTCGTGTGGCTGCGTGCCGCTGAGGCACAGAAAGGTGCTTTTGTATAATTATTACATTGACGAGCATCGAGCGTGTGAAACGCACGTCATTGTGCTATTTCTCTCTCTCTCTCTCTATATATATATATATATATATATATATATATACCCATGTTGTATCTGTATGTCTATAGCTTAGCCTTGTTTCTTTTTTCACGAAACCACCCACCTAATGAAATCATCTTGCTGTATTATTGTTCTTCAAAGAAGCTACTTTTCTGCTGTGTACACGGAGCGTGAGCTAATTGAGAAACCTATATGGATAAGCCGAATATGGCTCTTTATTATTATTTAGTCAGAATTGTGAGACATCTATATCTCCTAGCTTTTCTGAGTGAACTGGTGTGTTAAATTGTTTTTGTCTCTTAATTTTCGACAAAGTAAAATCTCCGAGACACGCATCGTGTATGCATACAATATTTATTTTGAAGTGCAACTGCAAAGCTTTCGAATAATTATGTACAATATTTAAAAAGATGCTTGATCAAATTAATTTCTCATCGAGTTATTTCGTGCCGCGAATAAATGAAAAAACTCGTACAGATCAATCATGTAACACGTAATAGCAAGGAATTTGGGATGTGCGTACTTCATTTTCTTGCTTATCTTGACTTATCAATCTGCTCACATTATATTCTGGATTTTTCTTTCTCACTCGCAGAGCGCGCGCAATCTTGCACAATCGTCTCCTCTAATCCCTCTCTCCGCGCCCATAATATAATAAGTCCGCGGGCGCGCAAGAGATCGTCGTCGATTTCTTTATAAAGCTTCCTCTTTTTCACGCCCCGTGTGAATAATGCAGGTGCATTTAGAAATTCGGCACGCGAAAAAAGGATATGACGCCCTAGCTGGGGGGTTTTGCATAATTTGCCCAATTTTGCAAGATGCTGATGCGCACTTTTCGACTTCTTCTGGAGATTTCACTCGTGAAACTTCGCCCAGAAAATTACGAAGAAGGATGATTGAAAGTCAAATTAGCAAAGATGTTGTAGCTAGGGCTATTCTTTTAAAATATTGTTGAAATATTATTAAACTGGCTAACAAGCGTTAGCGTAATTTATGGAATGTATGAATAAACTAAAGACCTATGTCGTAAGGATCATTTTAACGTTTTTATATTCGTTAACAAGATGACCCATAAAAGCTTATATATGCTTAGTAATATATAGATGAATCCAACATTAAATGGGTTACCACAAAATTCAACAAATCAAATTGTATTTCGAACATTTACTTTTCATAAAAATTCAATTTCAAGATTTGGAAACCGGTGACGTTTTAATTCGATTTCATAATTGTTGTACGTATAATATGGTCGTTTCTATTTTGCAACTACGCAAAACTCTAATTCCACGTGAAATAAAATTTGCGCAAGGATATGTGCTCATGTGCAATTTTTACGGTACGTTCAATCCTGTCAGCGTAAGCGAACATAACACGAAAGCTGCATCATAGCAATAAAAGCATTGGCCGCATTAGCACACGAGTAATATATTAGGGCAAACATTCAATAATAGGTTGCATTTGTCCGATACTAAAAGCTCTTCCGCATAACACGCATCAGCGTAAGTCACAGCAAGCTGCGGCAACATCGGAAATGACAAAGTGACGCACTGGCTGCGCGTACGCGTTCGTATGTAGTGGCACGGTCTGACGGATCGCAGAATTATACTACTGCGAAGGGAACCCGCGCGTATGGCAGCCGTTACGACAATGTCCCGACTGAACTGATAAAATCGTTCCGTTGCCTCGCCCGAGTCGCGTCAGGAGCTTGCGGATTAATATTCTCGAGTGAGACAGAGAGAGGGTTCTTTTTTTACCGGATTGGCGAATAACTGTTTTATGTCGTGATTACAAAGTAGGCACCTTTTGCTTGCATGGTAAATTTCATTAGGATATAACAGTACATACGGCTTTTATCGCGACAGTGTGTATGTGTGCGAAAGCTTTTGTTGTGATTTTTTTTTATGTTCAAACGAGAGAACCAAGCTATTTTTTCGTGGGTGTTTTTCTGGCGAAGCGAGAGAAACTACATACCGTCTTTTGAAAAGAAATACACTATCCCGCCAGTTTTGAATTGAAAGGATATCCAATACTTCGCGGCCGTGTGAAAAAAAAAGTGTCTCAACCCCTGCGTAGAAAATCAATTGCAGCGTAAAATTGTATCTCGCGATCGACCTTCGGCCCGAGAAAAATGCCTGCGAACTGCAAGCCACCTATACGGAAAAGTAACGCACTCGGTCTGATTGTCTCAGCTGTGCGCTTCTCACACGTCCCTCTCTAATTATAGCATCTAATTATGTGGCGTTGTTAAGGAATAATTCTACCACGTCCACGCTTATGCAGAAGAGTTCGCGCAATTCGTTTGGATGCATAAACACGAGGTAAGTGTTGAGCCTTAAGCGCCTGTTGACGGCTTCTAATTAGCTTTATAGTTTAGCTACAAGAGAGTTGAGAGAGCAAAGTCTATTTCGTTTGCGTGACTTTTCTTTGTCCATGAATAATTCGAAATCGATTTAAGTAACGCGTGACGTTAAAGGAATATGCTTTAACTGTTTTTTCCAAGTCCACGAAATTCAAGGGTCCTAGAGTTACGTCTGAAACTATAAAACTACGAGAATTCAATTTTAACTAGCTTTATTCTCCTAATTCTGGTAATTAGATATTGAGTTTCGAGTTACATTACTCAGTATTACTGTTAAATTCGGCTCACTAACGATTACAGTGTATGTAACTTTTGTGTACTAACAAATAGTCTCATACACTGTAAATCGCCAATTTTCAGTTATAATTTTTAGCAATCGTTGTTCTTAGAGTCTACTGGTAATAAACTAATTAATATAAAATTATTGTAATACTAATTTTTATGATCGTCATTTAATTGATTCAGGTCTTTATAGACATTTTTATTCCGTTGAATGTTCTATTTTATTTTAATACTGTAATTTTCGGTGCTATAGATAAACATAAAGTAGCTGAAAAATATTACCAGTTTTTTATTGATAAAATAATTCGAATTGCCGTAAAAATCAAGAATCATCAATTTTATTTACATTGAATAGTATAAAATTATAACGTTGAAACTATGTACAAAGATTTTATTACAACGTTAAAACTTGCCCTACTGTGAAAAAATACGATTTTTTTTTCAAATCTACTTCTTATCTTTTTTCGTCATATGCAAAGAATATATTTGCGTATTATTTATTATTTTGTATTTTGAAAAATAGATTTTCACGATCGTTATTCATAATTAAGGTTTAGAAATACAATTTAACGATCCGTTTGAAGCGCGCATGCCCGTTAATCGATAATGCTTCTGTATTTTAAGCTTTTTGCCTGAAATTTAAAAGCCCATATATTTAATGATTATATTCTATCCAATTGTATCTTGGCAAATTCAGGGCTGAACAAAAAAAATTTACACGCGCGGGTAACTTTCGATGTTCCATTTCAAAATGTTGTATACGTTGTTTGAGCTTGTTTTAACGATCATGTAAATAATTTCAGTGATTAAGACTTTTTAATGAAGCACATGCAAGTGAAAAGGTAATACCAGATTACGCGCGGAATGCTTTCACAGAAAATTTTTGATGAGTTCAGAGCATTCTTGTCGGTGTTATGGGATCCTGTATAATTTTCAGTTATTCTCAAAATATACTTTAATTTTCATCAAAAACATTCTTCATTGTTAATCTAATTTGATTACAGTATTATATAAAGACATGCTTATTAAAATGATATTTACAAAAGCTGAAGTTATAATCTACAAAGCAAAATGAATCGCGAAAACAAATTACTTATCGCGAAACATCTTTCATCGGATAATGATTATACTCTCAAATCAAATTAGAAAAGGAACCCTTGTACTCAGGGCTTCAAAATTAGACTAATCTTGTTCCCTAAACAATTCACTGTATGCGGAAACTAAACTTGGCCAAAGCTAACATCCCTGAGATTAGTAGGAGTAAAGCGAGGAGCATTAGAGGCCATCTGGTTGAGCGTTTGCATGGTGAACGAAAACAGTAAACATACATACCACGTGAGCTTTCGCCTGATGGGATGGGATTGTCAGTGCGCGCACACATCCAACGAAGTTGTCTTTTCTACACAGCACCACAAGCTAGTCAAGAACGCAAAAGAATTGTTTTTTTTTTCCTTTTGGTCAGTTGCAAAAAAAAAATGATCGTCGCTTCGACAAGCGGCACTAAGATATCATGTGGCATGCGAAGCGCCGGCAGGACGCGAACTGCGGCGCGAGGGAGTCGCGGCACGATACTGACGGCCTGAGCAGCCGGTCGGCGAACCTCACTCGTTCTCCCTTCCACTCTCTGCTCTGCAGGCCGCGAGGATGCTGCTGCCACCGCCGCTCAACTCAGCTGTGCAGTCTCGCTTGTCCCTCTGCCCTACTACTATCACCGTGCCGCGCAAGGTATCAGCTTTCTTTTTCTCTCGACCTCTTGATGATGCTTTGTCATCCAACTTGTACCGACTATTGCAAGCTTGTGGACTTTCGACACGACGTGTTTGCTCGGATATACGATTCGCCTGTATTGTATCGATGCATGTATTTATTGTTGAACAACAGTTGCGGTGGCTTGCAATTTGTATTCCATGATTTTGACCAACTCAAATGTTGACTTCGAACCGCTCTTGCGTAACTACGTAAACCAGAAGTTTCCGTGGAAACCAGACGAGCGGTTAGCGATTTACGAACGTCAGCGTCGCGTAATAAACTTTTGTATTGTAATGTATTTTGTTTTGCAAAATTTTTGTGATAGAGTCTAATGTTGAACAAATTGTTAAATTATTCTCTTTATATAGTTCTCAGTGCGTAACATTCCCCTCTCTTTGAGTATAGTTACTAGTAATATCATAAGTCAGTCTTCCACAAGAATATTCGTATACACCCCCAAAAACGTAACTATGAATCAAATTAAAATCGAAACATCAGTGTTCAACAAGAAATTCCCCAAGTCATCGAATGAGCCATGTGCGAATTTTTTCCGAACTTTCTTCTACAAACCTTTAATCATTCCAACTTCCATCGTATTAACGACAAAGACATTGTAAATACAGTCCAGGATACCTTTCGACCAAATTCTTTTTCGTTCTCTCTCTCTCTCTCTCTCTCTCTCTCTCTCTCTCTCTCTCATTCCTCTCACAAGCCCATCCTTTCTCTTTGTCCGCGCGGTGTTTGCTTTCGTAGCTCTTCCCCGTTCTAAAAGTATTGACCAGCGAAATTTCTGTAATTGTAGACTTCGCGCAGCGCTAGCGCAGTCGCGCGCCAAAGATGGTAATTGACTTCATGAATTTCAAATTGATAGCTGATGTTAGCTCGAAATGTAACAGTCATCTCTCTTGTTCGCTTTTCTCATTGTCATCTCCGGCCTTTGCCTTCTCCAGCTCCAACCCTCCTTCGGAGCTTTTATCTTTCTCTTTTACATGGATATCCTGAACTAGTTTCCGTACATTTAATGGATATGAGGAAGTGAATTTTTTTTTCCTTTTGAGTAACACCAAAAATTTACAATTTGCGTGGGATGTCTCGCTTTCTTTATTCAAATTAACTTTGATTGTTTCGTATTTCGTATCGTATTATTTCAAATAACAGACCTTTTACTTAATTTTTAATTCATCGACTATTATTTAATTTTCAATTTCTATTTGCAAATTAAAATCAACATGACAAATATCGCTTTCGTAACTACATAATCGTAAAATAACTGCTTATCAGCCCATAATTTCTGTGTAATTCGAGTATTTATGAGTATCATCAAGATAAAGTATTAGCTTCTTCATCTTTTTTCTATGGAAATTTATAAAACTTTCACAAAACCTTACAGACATTCGACCATACCGTTGAATCACGTAAGTGTTCTACTATGGAAACATTAAAAGTATTAATTATCGAAATATTTTAGGAATCCAAATATCTTTTTAATACACACTACATTCTTCAATTTATTACAGACACTACATTGGCATAAAAAAGTGATCCTATAAATGAGGAAAAGAAAATATCTGACAACCAGCTCATTCTGGCGAAAATGATGAGTTCGCAAAGTTGTAACGTAATCTGTGCTGCGGTGAAGATTCAACGGTGACGTAACTCTATAATAAGTATCAATCCCAAACAAAAAAGAAATAAAGAAGGGAGAGCATTTGTTCGACGGAAATTGCACGGTGGCTTCTCCATCATGTCGGTCGGTCGACGCGCGCAAACGCTTTTATTGCCTTACATCCTAACCCAATTTTACGATATTCCACAAAAGCAACTGGCCACATCAGTAATGACTCAAGTGTATATTATCTGGCTTGATAAAAATTGTTGGTGTATAACGATCGGAGTAGCTACTGCTGGGTAATATACAATTACGTGTGGCACCGGCGGAGCTGTGAATAATAACGCTTAAATCATTGATTCGATGCACACCAGGAAAATCATTAGGGTCTTTGATACAGCGTAGCCTTTCATGCGAGCTTTTTGTGTCAAACTAACTTATGTCTTCTGGAAGACGTTTTTGTAAATAAATTTAACACCACGATCGCATCTATCTGCATACACGTTTGTAAATTGCCTTGACCATAAGCGGAAATTATATAATAACATATTCGTTGAAAGGGGAAATAATTAATTTTTCACATTTCTAGCTTGTATCCTACTCTATACGGTCAACCATATTTCACTACTTCATATCCGAAGTAGTGAAAAATAGTTCCAATATCATTTGAAAACAGAAGCTTCGAATAAGTACTACCTTTACGAAAACATTGTAAAAAATCCTTGTTGCCATTCGCGATATAAAATCCCGCAATAGAAAAAAAAAAATTGATCTGAATGCGAATTTAAAAGTACACATGCACCATCGCAGACTAAAGCAAGAATGATATTATCGTAAGCGACATCGACGTAGCGCAGTGAAGCTGCAAAGTAGAAAGTTATTGTGTGCGCGATATACATAAGCGAGAATACAAGTACAGACGTCGCGCATGAGCTTTAGGGAACCATAAAAGTCAAGTTATTTCAGCTTCGTAGCAAAATCGGCTCCTCCAAAGTGTTACTCTGACTTTGCGACTATATAGTATACATCTGCAACTCTTATTTATTGTTTTTTAGAAATTTTTCATGTTTTATAAATACACGCAGAAATGCATGAATACCCCCTATCATTATTTCATTACTTGGCTAATTGTTTCCGTCTCGTGAAGTTCTGGTTAACGCAGATTCAGTTGTTTTATTAGTAGATTTACGACTGCGGATAAAAGAATTTGCGAATATTAAATACTCGTAATCCCGATATTTCATTGCGTACCTTGTGCATCTTCAATTTTTTTACGGTTTAGAAATCAACCATAAGTATCGTAGTACCTTCGCAGCAATGCTAAACTTTTGAAAAGCATAATATAAAATTTCTGCGCCGCTCTCATAGATTGAACTTTTCTCAAAAGTTAAAATCTCTAGATTTCATCTAGATGAGTCTGATTTAACGGCCTTCATATATGCGCTAAGTTCACGGAAAGCGAAGCAAGCGACCTCGCGTATATATAATATCCGCACAAAAGATATAATGTACCGTAAAAGAATGGAAGTCCCACGTTCACTTTCTTTCTCTATCCCGCGCCTGTCTGCAATGAGGATGGCGCTGAGAAGGAAAGAGCTTTACGCACATAAGCCGATGAATTTATTTTTTCGAAATATAAAAGATTCTACGCGGGAACTATGCTAATTTCACCGCGATAAATTCGTCGGTTTTATGAGTGACGATGCTCGTTAATCCAAAGACCCTCGCTCGCTCTTCCGTTGTTTTCATTCAAGAACGTTGATGAGCACCCTAAATTAGATATAGCATGTGCATTAATACTAAGCTACGTTAAAGCTGTAGAGAAAGGTGAAAAGATTCGTTGAAACAGTTTCTTGTAGAGTTACGACAGTACCGTAAGCTGCCGTTCAAAACACACATACGTCAAATGTATTTCTATCGCGACACTAATAACTAGTCATATCACAGAGAGGGGATTATAGCAATAAACGTGTACGCTAGAGGTCCATCCTACCAAAAAAGAGTTCGCTGATCTAACTACTATCTAAATCACAATATTTCCGATAAATTTAATGTTATACACGTTGCCATTTTTTGCAGATTATTTATTATACTTGTTTATAACGTTAATTTCAAAATCAATCAGTAATTATCCTATGGATATGCGTTTCTAAAATTATATATAATTCTTTTGAGCGTTGATTTATTATATATTTTACCGCAACTAATTGTATAAATTATTATGTATGCATGTCCATAATGAGTGTATAATAACTATAATAACTGTAGCGTTAATCATGCCTAAACAGAATGAATTTGTCTTTAAACTACCATAGTTACCTTATTACTATGCATTGAAGCTTAATCCCCCCCCCCCCCCCCCATTGCTCACATGCTTTTCCAGAACGGTAAATTTAGACAGTCGAGTAGGTATTGATAACTATGAATTTCCGAAAATGTTTTTGTCATGAAACGGAAAAATTTCGAACCTTCCGGTAATAATTATGAGTAATAATTAAATGAACGTTGTCGAAGCTGTTCATTGAGTTTGTTGTGAAAAATGAAGATAAACGCTATTCACATTACATTTGATTGTTTTAAGAAAGAGAGAGACTTGACAGCCAACACGATTATAATAGTATTATTCATTTGTTAAACATACAACACATCATTGAAATCTAATAGAAGATCTCTATCGTTAAATATTTTACAAAAAGGAAAAAATGATACTTTTTTACATATTTTGATTGTTTGCAATTAATATACTCGCGGAATTATCAAAAAATTTACATCACCTTCTCCCTTTATTATTAAAATCGTAGATAATAAAAATATCTCTTTCGTCATTTACTATCTAATATAAATTGTCAAAGACTATTGAATAGTGAAAGTAAATGTGTACAATATAATTTTATTATACATCGTAACTCTCAAAAACGCATATATCGGTATGAACCAAAAAGTATAAAGTTTAAAAAGTAATGGCTTCATGTTCATAATATAATTGACGTACTAGGTCGACATAAATGATAAGACTGAAAATTAATGTTTCAGCTCTCTATCACAAATATAAATTAAATTTATACAAAGCTGGTTTCAAGTAAGTAACGATTTTTATGATAGAATTTTATTTCTATCAATTAAAATCATCCGGTTGCAAATAATCATAAATAAATATGGAAAAGTAGCTTGAA